GATAGTGCCAATTCTTCTTGATTTTGACACGAGTCTTGATCAAGTAATGCCTCCAATTCTGCATCTTCGAAAACCTTTTCTCTTCCACCGCTATGACAGTCTTCGACGTCAAAATCACCGTTTTTGAAGCGTTGAAACCACTCGCGAAACGTTCTTTCACTAATAGCGGCCTCACCATAAGTATTTGAGAGCATTTGATGAACCTCAGCCGCAGATTTCTTCATATTGAAGCAGAAAATTAAAACCTCCTGTAAATGACGAGAATTTGGCTCATAAACTGACATTTTCAATCGAGAATAACTTTATGATGCAGACACAAATCGACTAATGTTTCTATGGGGTTATGTTGACAGATGCCTAAGTTTATTGTATGACGTCTATGATCTATTTATTTCGACCACCATTTACCGCTAAAGCCATCTATAGGAAAACGGAAGCAAAGTTGTACACCTAATATATTATATAAAAGGTATATAAAAAGTTATGTGTGACAAAACAATACATACAAAATTATCATAGGAACAAAAAATTGAATAATTGATTATATTGGTGTTAAACTTAATTCCTATCGCTCGCTACTAGAGGGTGCTGGCTCCAACGCTGGCGAGTTTCAACGATGAAGTCATAAGTCTTTTGTAGTTTAGACATCGCGCTGAAAGTGATTCAATCCCCACAGGTTAGATTTCTCGACGCCAAAGAGATTTTCCAATCGATTGAAAATGAATCGTGATAAGCTGTTTTTCCGACATGTGCTTCTTCACTACTTCCTTCACTACGACCTCAAGAAAACCGCAGCTGAAGCGCATCGCTTATTATCCGAAGTGTATGGTGATGAAACTCCATCGGAAAGAACATGTAGAGTTTGGTTTGAACGCTTCCGAAACGGTGATTTTGTTGTGAGAGACAAAGAACGTCCAGGAGAGCCGAAAAAATTTGAAGATGTCGAGCTGCAAGAATTGCTTGATGAGAACCCAGCTCAAACGCTTTTAGAATTGTCGAAACAGTTAAATGTTACTCCAAAGGCCGATTGAGTGACGAATTGATGCAAAAAAGATCATCCGTAGCCAACAATCGACGCAAAGT